TCTTTCTTTCTTTCTTTCTTTCTTCTTTCTTTCTTTCTTTCTTTCTTTCTTTCTTCTTTCTTCTTTCTTTCTTTCTTTCTTTCTCTTTCTTTCTGTCTTTCTTTCTTTTTCTTTCTGTCCCTTCCTTTCATCCCCTTTCTTCCTTTCACTTCCTTTCTTTTCCTTCCTTCCTTCCTTCCTTCCTTCCTTCCTTCCTTCCTTCCTTCCTTTGTCTCTTCCCTCTCTTTCTCTCTCCCCCCACCTGAAACACACACACACTTCCAACGTTGCTCGTTAACTTATATTCTTCCCAGCCAATCTCCTAGAGTCCCAGGTTCCAGGTGTGATTATCCGTTTGCACACAGTCCTGCATTGCCCGGCCTGAGAAAATTGTTCAGAGTAACAGGTTTTAGCACCAGCTAACAGAGCTTGCCATTCCGGTGCCTCTTCTCTAGGTGTAGGGCAAAGAGTTATTAGATCATGCTTCATTCGACTTTGAGATGATGGTACTGTTGTGGGCCCTCTCCCGATCTCTTGATGTGGTACTGATGGTGTCATAGGATATTCACATAAGGATGATCGTATCTCCATCTCTACTGGAGCCTCTAGTGGTCCCTATGTATCTTGGCTTCTGTTTTCCATCTCATATTCATGCAATCCCTTGCCCTCTGGGGGAGAAGGAAGAGGCTCCTTTATTGGGGAGACCAGCTCTATAAGTGGCTCAGCAGTGTCCATTATGACCAACAAGGATTTCTTTAAATTTTCTAATTTGACTAATATGTTGTCTTGTTCTTTTCTTGGGAGAGCGCCAAAAGCATTAATGAGGCCAGTTTCTGCGCTGTTAAGTAGATCTTCACCAACCAAGTTTGGCTGACTCCCACTTTCTTTCTCTCTTTTTCCCAAGGTTGAGAATGCAGAAGAGACAGCAGCCATGGGAGCTCGCATGTTAACAATTAAAGGTTTAATCTAATTATTGCAAGTTATACCTGAGAAAATATAGAACAGAAGGGACTCCCTCTTTGTTTGAGATGTCACCTTCTAGAATGGAATAGAATAGAATAGAATGGAATGGAATGGACAGTTATATAACTATCTAACAAACAAATTATGTTTTGTAACTTGTTATTTTTTAAAAGTGAAATGTCATGTTCCTTGGCTGGAGTGGGGGTTTGTATATCTTGATTTAAAGATTAATGTAAAATATGCTAGGGTCATTCTGACCTGAACTGAAACCCATTAATGATCCATTGTGCTTGGAAGCCATGAGAACAATGTAATAAGAAAAAGCCATGAGAACAAGGGTAGTTTCCAAAGAAAAGGAAACAGGTGTTAATTTGGGTGTGGCGTAGGGAGATACGTAGTTGGATAGATTGTGAACCCAGGAAAGGGGCAGACACTGTATTTTTGAACTTGTATATAAACCCCAGCCTTCCTGGGGAAAATGTCTTCTGCCATGAGCAGAATTCCCTTTCGCAAAAGCTTAATAATAAAGCTCTTTCATATTGTTCACCGTCTCTGTGTTTTGGGATTATTCTCATAATTGGCGCCCGAACAGGGACTTGAAGACATCCAAATTGCCGCCGGTGGAGGTGAGCTGTCTGCAGACCGTGGGGCACCCACGCTGATTTCAGCGGCTGGTTTGAGAGAGCTCTCCTTCTCTGGAAGTGGATTGTGGATTTGCTCTTCAAATGAACTGTTGGCGACCCTGAACAAGAAGCTGAATGAGGAAGTAGCCCAAGCGAAGAGCACCAGTGCCCGGGTGAGTACATAAGGGGTACTTAAGTCTCACTGGGTGGTCTGTTCCTCCTTGAACAATTGACGGTGATGTGTGCATGACTGAGCCTTCCTTCCTTTTGGAAGTGTAGAGTGGTTTCTATTAAAGGAAACAGTTAAAGGAGGGAATAAAAGTCTTGGGTGGAATATGGGCCCCCGAAACAAAATGTTTGTTAAGGATCCTGGAAAAGAAATTCCTTCTAATCCCTCTCTTCCCCTCTGGGGAGGTTATTATATTTATAGAAGGAAGTGACAATGTTTAGAGACAGGTAGTAAAACTCCAGTGATTAATGAAAATTAAGAACACTGGGTGTGACTTTGAGTAAACATGAAATGTTCACGAAAGTGATTCGAAAGTAAGGTTAATATGTCAATTATTTGAATTTCCTTTGAATAAATTATTGAATTTAAAAAAGAAAGTGAGGTTAATTACTGCTGTTATGTGTGATAGGAAGAAAGAAACTACAGTGATATCTTGAGGATTTATCAGTCCTAAAAAGAATGTTTATTGTTTTTCCCACCCGGGGTTTAGCAGGTAGTAAGAGGCCTGTCTAAATGGGAAGATATAGATATTTTGCCTTTGATTAATGTGTTGCAATCTCTGTTAAATATTTCTAGATGTATATCTAGTAATAATAGTGTGAAGTGAATGAGATTGAAATGATTGTGAGATGTTATTGGTTTGAATTTAGAGCTGTGGAAAATGGGTAGTGGTTAGGGCCCAAAATCACATTTTGACTAAAGCCATTCCCTTTCTCACTGCCTGAAGAATGAGCTATAGATGCTCATAATGGTATGTTTGCATGAAAGTGTCTATGTGTGATTATTTCCCAAAATCTTCTGGGAGGATGTGATAATAGTACACAAATTGTTGTTTAAGAAATTGAGATTATTGGCTTGTGGAAAGTTCCCTGAAATAATTATGATGATTGTTTTAAATAGAAAAAAAATGGAACTTTATGTATGTGATATTGGTTCAAAAGAAAAGTCCGATTGCTGTACAGATGTGAGTGTGGGATAAGCCCTGAGGCTCATAAAGAAAGATGTTCTGAGACCTTTGTGCTGAAAAGCAGCGAGGTTTCGATGTTGTTGTTGTTAAAGCAAATGTTGTGATAAATACCCCATGGTGGGAGGGATATTTATGGGAAATATGTGTGATTTAATAAAGTTAGAGATAGAGAGGGAGAAATGGAAAAGTATTTTGTTAAGATATATTTCAGAGCAGTGACCCAAAATACCTGAATTGGATGGTTGCTTTATTTCTGAAGGTTTTTTTTACACCTTTTATGTTTTCATGTGTGTGCATTTTGAATACATCCTATGGAATATTGTTTGTTTGTAAAAAAGAAAATAGAGAGGAATTAGGAACTACAATATGTAGTCAGAGGGATAAATATTTACGCTATTTTGAGACTAGTATTACCCAGATAAGGGAAGGCTTTTGAGGATTTTTAGCCCAGAAGTGGGAAGGCAAAAGATAGCTGGTGGCTTAGTGGATATTTCCTTGGGGAAGGGATTGCTTCTCAAGGAAGAGCTGGACTTTTGGTCTGGCTAGCTAGAAAGTATTTTGAGTTGGACTTGTGCATAATATGCCTTAAATTAGAAGCTTTGTAGTTCTCTTAAGCTTGAGGCGATAGTTTAGAAGCCAGGATGGCAGTGGTTAAATGTACTGTGTATGTGGATATGTGATTCTCCTTAAGTATTTGTTGACGATACAGAGAAAGTTAAAGTTCTCCTGTGTGAGGAGTGGAGGATGGCATGGCCCGAGGATTGCTAGTTAAAACATAGACTGGGAAGAAGGAACCAGTAGCATTTTTGTAAAAATTGATGGATCCGGTGATGTGTGTGGTTGGCCTTTGCGCACTATCACAACATAGTAAAAATAATCTCATCCTTAGCAATTTAAA